ATTGACATCACCTGGTCTTCCCAGACGATGATTGAGAACAATCCATGACACTGGCAGGTCTCAGCTTTGCAAAGGGGGCAGTGCATGCTATAAATTCTGCAGGGTGCCCAAACTTTTGCAGATGCCATTTTTTTTTTCTGTTATTTTGAAAGTGTAAATGATGGAAATAAAATCTAACTTTTGTTGACATATTATAAGAATGTCTAATCTGTAATTTGATGCCTTTTGGAGATTTTTCCATCTTTCCTTGGCTTCTTTATGCACATTAATACAAATTTTTAGCTGGGGTGCCCAAACTTTCGATCCCCACTGTACATACAGTTGTGTTCAAAATAATAGCAGTGTGTTGAATAAAGTGAATAAAGCTCAAAATCCTTCTAATAGCTTGTATTTCCATACACACAAATGCATTGGGAACACTACACATAGCAGTGTTTGTATTCTTGATTACAAACTCAAACATTCACTATATAAACTGAAAAAAATGTTTGAAGATTATGCTTTCCTTGAATCACTTAATTAATATTTAGTTGTATAAGCACTGTTTCTGAGAACTGCTGTACATCTGTGTTGCATGGAGTCAACCAACTTCTGGCACCTGTGAACAGGTATTCCAGACCAGGATGATTGGACTACATTCCACAGTTCTTCTCTATTTCTTGGTTTTGCCTCAGAAACTGCATTTTTGATGTCACCCCACAAGTTTTCTTTTGGATTAAGATCCGGGGATTGGGCTGGCCACTCCATAACGTCAATCTTGTTGGTCTGGAACCAAGATGTTGCACGTTTACTGGTGTGTTTGGGGTCGTTGTCTTGTTGGAACACCCAATTCAAGGGCATTTCCTCTTCAGCATAAGGCAGCATGACCTCTTCAAGTATTCTGATGTATTCAAACTGATCCATGATCCCTGGTATGCGATAAATAGGCCCAACACCGTAGTATGAGAAACATCCCCATATCATGATGCTTGGGCAACCATGCTTCACTGTCTTCACAGTGTACTGTGGCTTGAATTCAGTGTTTGGGGGTCGTCTGACAAACTGTCTCCGGCCACTAGACCCAAAAAGAACAATCTTACTTTCATCAGTCCACAAAATGTTGAGCCATTTCTCTTAGGCCAGTCAATGTGCTCTTTGGCAAATTGTAACCTCTTCAGCACATGTCTTTTTTTCAACAGTGGGACTTTGCGGGGGCTTCTTGCAGATAGCTTGGCTTCACATAGGCGTCTTCTAATTGTAACAGTACTCACAGGTAACTTTAGACCTTCTTTGATCTTCCTGGAACTGATTGTTGGCCGAGTCCTTGCCATTTTGGCTATTCTCCTATCCATTCGAATGGTAGTTTTTTGCTTTCTTCCACGTCTTTCAGGTTTTGGTTGCCATTTTAAAGCATTTGCGATCATTTTAGCTGAGCAGCCTATCATTTTCTACACTTCTTTATATGTTTTCCCCTCTCCAATCAACTTTTTAATCAAGGTACGCTATTCTTCTGAACAATGTCTGGAACGACCCATTTTCCTCAGAATTTCAGAGAGATATGCACTGTAACCAGCATGTACAACATTTGCTGCCTTCCTTCCTTAAATAAGGGAAATAATTACCGCCTGTTTTTCAAAGAATGAATGACCTCACTAATAGAACTCCACACTGCTATTATTTTGAACATTCCCCTTTCATTTAGTGATTCAATTATACAGAATCAGCAGCATGCATGTCATGACTGTTGGATTTCTATTACTCTACTACACCTGCTAGTAAATTATTTGCCATGTAGAAATATCATTTCTACCAAAAACAGTGATTGATCAGGTTAGTGATGTCTGACTGCTATTATTTTGAACACAACTGTGTATATATATATATATATATATATATATATATATATATATATATAAAATATATGTATTTATTTAAAATATCTTATTATATAAAAAAAATTCAGGATTGATGAGAATAATCTCAATATCGGCTTTAATGAGGTTCACCTAATTTATTATTCCTACGGTCTTTCGCTTAATTGCTTTTAATGATACGAGTCTGTTTGTACTTAGCTGTGTTGATCTGGTCTTTTTGGACTTACAGTTCCTGTGTTATCTGTCTTGATGACATTTCCAGCCAGAATACAGATCAGCAGGGGTTAATGATTAACTCTCACTATTTAATCTGCGGTGGTAAGCTATTGTGTTAGGCTGATGAAGGAAGTTTGTTGTTCTTCCAAAAAACGTGTTCCCTAGAGTCACACATACTCACTACCTCGGTGGGGTTACCAGGCTGCTCATCCTTTCCTGCATGACAATTCTTTGCAGCGAAGCTTCGGTTCCAGCGACCTGCTGATACACTGATTCGCTAGTGCACACAGCGGTTGAAGCTCTTTACACTTTTTGCTATGCTCCTGGCTTTGCATCTAGCTCTCTAAGACGCCCATCCTCTCTGTACCTCCAGTGGCTGCCTCTCCATTCAGCTCACAGTGGATCAAGCCATCCATTTGCCTGCGGTTATGGACTTTTGCCATAATGACATGGTTGCAAACACTTCACCCTTGTGAGTGCAATAGTAGATGATTTTAATGATCTTTTTAATAAATTGACATACTACACTATGTTGGTTCCTTGGGCGCCTTTCTCCCCTTACAGAAACACACACATTTTTCTCACATACATAGGCAGTGCCTTGAAAAAAAAGTATCCATATCCCTTTATTGGGATTTTATATGATAGACCACCACAAAGTGCAACATACAGTGAAGGAAATAAGTATTTGATCCCTTGCTGATTTTCAATGTTTGCCCACTCAAAAAAATGATCAGTCTAAAAATCGAATGGTAGGTGTATTGTAACACAGAGACAGAATAGCAACAAAAAATTCAAAAGAAATGCATGTCTAACAAATTATGCACTGATTTGCATGTTCATGAGGGAAATAAGTATTTGTTCCCCTTCACAAAACATGACTTAGTACTTGGTGGCAAATCCCTTGTTGGCAATCACAGAGGTCAGACGTTTCCTGTAGTTGGCCACCAGGTTTGCACACATCTCAGGAGGGATTTTGGCAGATCCTCTCAAAGTCATTAAGGTTTGGTGGCTGACATTTGGCAACTCGAACTTTCAACTCCCCTCACAGATTTTCAATCAGATTAAAGTCTGGAGACTGGCTCCGCCACTCCAGGACCTTAATGTGCTTCTTCTTGAGCCACTCCTTTGTTGCCTTGGCCGTGTGTTTTGGGTCATTGTCATGCTGGAACACCCATCCACGACCCATTTTCAATGCCCTGGCCGAGGGAAAATTCTCACCCAAGATTTGACAGTACATTGCCCTTTGATGCAGTGCAGTTGTCCTGTCCCCCTAGCAGAAAAACACCCCCAAAGCAGTATGTTTCCACCACCATGTTTAACAGTTGGGATGGTGTTCTTGGGTCATAGGCAGCATTCCTCCTCCTCCAAACACGCTGAGTTGAGTTGATGCCAAAGAGCTCGATTTTGGTCTCATCTGACCACTACACTTTCAACCAGTCCTCCTCTGCATCATTCAGATGTTCAGTGGCAAACTTCAGATGGGCCTGGACATGTGCTTTCTTGAGCAAAGAGACCTTGCGGGCACTGCAGGATTTCAATCCTTGTCGGCGTAGTGTGTTACCAATTGTTTTCTCGGTGACTGTGGTCCCAGCTGCCTGGAAATCATTGACAAGATCCTCACGTGTAGTTCTGGGATGATTCCTCACTGTTCTCATGATCATTGACACTCCACGAGGTGAGATCTTGCATGGTGCACAAGACCTAGGGAGACTGATAGTTGTTTTGTGTTTCTTCCATTTGCGAATGATTGCACCAACTGTTGTCACCTTCTCACCAAGCTGCTTGGCGATAGTTTTGTAGCCCAGTCCAGCCTTGTGTAGGTCTACAATCTTGTCCCTGACATCCTTGGACAGCTCTTTGGTATTTGCCATGGTGGAGAGTTTGGAATCTGATTGTTTGATTGCTCCTGTGGACAGGTGTCTTTTATACAGGTAACAAAATGAGATTAGCAGCACTCCCTTTAAGAGACTGCTTCTAATCTCAGCTTGTTACCTGTATGAAAGACACCTGGTAGCCAGAAATCCTGCTGAATGATAGGGGATCAAATACTTATTTCCCTCATGAACATGCAAATCAGTGCATAATTTGTTAGACATGCATTTCTTTTGAATCTTTTGTTGCTATTCTGTCTCTCAGTGTTACAATACACCTACCATTCGATTTTTAGACTGATCATTCCTTTGTGAGTGGGCAAACATTGAAAATCAGCAAGGGATCAAATACTTATTTCCTTCACTGTAGCGAAGGACAGGGAAAACCTGGGCTCAATGGCCGACTTGAGACGCCCAGGAAAAACAATATAGGGATGGAATCTACTAACAGCTGTTGAGCAGTACACTAGCTTAGTGGTTAGCACTTCTACCTTTTAGTATTGGGGTTCCAGTTCAAAGGCCATCCAGGATGCAACCTGCATGGAGTTTGCAAGTTTTCCTTCTCACACTCCAAAGACGTGTTGGTAGGTTTAAAAGAGATGCAGTGTAAATTGACCCTAGTATGTGTGCACATGTACATATGCATTTGAACGAGGACTGTTGTGAATGTACAGCATGGAAAGAGCTGCATAAATTGTCAGCACTATATAAATGTCTGTAATGAATAAATAATAGTACAAAATGTTCAAATTCATGCAAGAAATGCAGCAGAAGGTAAGAGAATGTCCTTTCTCCTTTAGAACACATCATGCCCTCGGGGATGGCATCTAGGTTTATGTGCCCAGTGTGCATTTCTCCTTTAGGCAACTGTATATCCCTTACTGTGAAGCTGTATCCCTTAATGGAAAAATGTTAAATACACACTCAAAGCGCACTATTATTTCCCTTTAAATATAACACTGTATATTTGTAAAGAACAAACTGTTTTCATTCTACAAAGAAACAAAATGTTACATGAATTCAATTAACTTAATCTACATTGACTGAATAGAAGAACCTTTGGGGATTTTCAAGTTGTATCCCGATATTCTGGTCATCACAACATCCAGCCAGCATGAAAGCGATAAAACTTGTCTCAGAGCTTCAGCATCACCACTGCAGAGAAGAATATAAAGTAAATGTATACAAGCTTTTTGTTATAATTAAATAGCCATTTTAAAGAATCTAAAATAAGTATTACACATTTTGCAGATGAAACTATGATCTACTATAAAATTTGCTCTTCTTAAATATAGAATATATTGCATGGATAACATAGGCCAGCATACATTTAAGTGCCTCGAATCTTAGACTTGTTCCTGGATATATTTGACCTGCTGATTCCAAAAATCACCACATTTTTCCTACCAGCTGTAGTTTTTGAGATATAGCATAAAAGCATTATAAACACTCTTCACTCTGGTTGCCCATCAAAAATCAGGATATTTTATTGTAGTGTTTTATTTAAAGTAGAACTATAGGCAAAACTTTTTTTTTTTTTTTAAATTTTCAATAGAGTAAGGCTTTCCATACACTATACAATTTTCTGTCCAATTTCCTTTAGATTTACCTTTAACTATGTAGTGCAAGAGCCTGCCTAATTGGATACAATTGAAAGTGTTGTTAGGTTTTACCTCCTATTATATAGTTTTTGGTAAATCTAAACCAAAAATCTCAAGAAAATTGTATAATGTATGGCCAGCCTTAGGGAGGGTTTTTATTATTATACAGGATTTATATAGCGCTAACAGTTCGCTTAGTGCTTTACAAAATGAAGGGAGACAATACAGCGACTATTCCGTTCAATACAAGATGGTTAGGAAGGCCCTGCTTCTGGGAGCTTACAGTCTAATAGGGAGGGGCTGGTGAAACAAAAAGGTAATAACTGTGGGGGGTGAACTGATGGGAAAAATAGAAGGCTTGGTTAATAGCTGAAGGCAGGATAGGCTTCCCTAAAGAGAGATGTTTTCAGGGATCACCTAAAAAGAAAGTCGGTCAGATTGGGGTAGAGAGTTCCATAGGATATGAGAGGCTCTGGAGAAGTCCTGAGACAAGCATGAGAGGAGGCGGCAAAGGAGCAAGAGAGCAGAAGGTCTTGGGAAAAGCGGAGAGGACAGTTTGGGTAATATTTGGAGACAAGATTGGTGATGTAGTTTGGGGTGGAATTATAAATGACTTTATATGTTATTGTTTTGAATTTTATTCATTGGGCATTGGGAAGCCAGTGAAGGGATTGGCAGAGAGAAGTGGTGGACACGGAACAGTTGGTAGATGAGTCTGGCAGCAGCATTCATGATAGACTGAAGAGGGGATAGCCTGCAATTAGGTAGGCCAATGAGGAGGGAGTTGCAATAGTCAAGGCAAGAGATAATGAGGGAGTGAATAAGTTGCTTAGTGGTTTCAAAGGTTAAAAAGGGGCATATTTAATTCTCTTCAGGAATCACGGGATGTCCCTCCGGCGGAATTTTTTCATTACCTTCAATTGCGGCATTGGCTGCTCTTATTGCGGGGCACTTCTGTCTTCCCATAACAGAAATCTGCCTTTGAACTGCTTTGCCAACAGCGGCCGGGCGCCCCAGGCCTTGTTTCCCTTCTTTATGCAGCTTTGAATAGACGCTCGTCGCATACTTCTCTTTCATATGTTGTTCAGTGGGAGCGCGACCTGGGAGTGGCTGTGGATCCGGGGGACTGGAATAAGTCCTGGTCACTCATAGCTAAATGCTCATTCAATACGACCATGCTGGAGGCGGCTTACAAGGTATTGTTTCGTTGGTATTGGGTTCCGGCTCGTTTGGCACAGGCAAATCCTGCATGCAGTGATCGATGCTTTCGGGGGGTTGTGGCCATCGTGGTGATGTATTGCATATCTGGTGGTCATGCCCGAGGCTGCTTCGTTTTTGGTCTCGTGTGTTTGGCCTCCTTTTCACCTTGTTCCATCTCTCTATACGACGGGATGCTCAATATGCTTTGCTTCATTGCCCCATACCGGGCCTGTTGGCTCATCAGCAGAAGTTGGCTTCCTATTTGTTTTTGTCGGCTTCTAGAACAATTGCTCAGGCCTGGAAGAGCCCGTTTGTCCCTCTTCAGGGGGTGCGGGACCGTATGACCACTATGATGCTCAATGAACAGATGTTGAGTATCTGCAATGACTCCCAATGTAAACTCTTGAAAATATGGGAGCCGTGATTGCAATATACCTTTCCCACGCTCCCCCCGGCTAGTCTGGGGATGTGATGTTGTTCGGCTTTGGCGTTCTTGGATCCCTGCTCTTGGTTTGGTTATCTTTTTTCTTTCGTACTTCTCCTTCCTCCCCCCCCCCCCTTTTTTTTTTTCCTTTCGGTTTGCTTTTGGTGTGGCAGTGGATAGCGGCCTTTATTCTGAGTTAATATCAGTGTTATATTTATGTTTTGTTATTTAAGTACCATTGATAGCCCCTGCGTGGTCGATCTTTTGCCCTGTTGGTGTTAGAGCACTGATTTCTTTCGTTTTATACTTCTTTTATGTGCAATTGATAGCCCCTACGTGGGCGTGATTTGTTGCTCCTGTGTTGTTATTAATTAATAAAAACCATTGAAATACAAAAAGGGGCATATTTTAAAGATGTTATGGATTACACCTAGCATCGACAAACAAAAGATTTCCCAGCAGCACTTACCAGCAAGCCTGTGAAACAACCAATTTGGCCATGTCTAACAGTTTGCATTAAAAACAGAGGGTTTTGTTTGCACACATCTGCAAACACATGCGTAAGCCATAGTCCCACATCAATGGTCCTCTGTATACTGTGGACCTAACTAAAATTTCTAAAGCCTCCACAGTACAAATGGGTAGGTTAAGGGAAGGTGTGCCTAGAGGAGCCCATCTCTCCTTAAAAAGGTACAGGGACGCACGGGCCGCCCAGCTATACCAAAATGACAGCAAAGGCATCCAGTGCATCCCTGCATCCAAGTTAACCAACTACACAAAAAATGGCAACCGTCCCAACCTATAACAAGCCTTAGCAGTAAGGTGCACATGGAAGGGCAATGCACATCGCAAGACAAACAAAAGATTTCCCAGCAACACTTAACAGCCAGTCTGCGAAATAACCAATGTTTTTTTTCTGTGTGTAGAAGGTTAACTTGGATGCACTGGATGCCTTTGCTGTCATTTTGGTATAGTTGGGTGTCATGTGCATCCCCGTAACTTTAAGCAGGGATGGGCTCCTCCAGGCACACCTGCCCTTAACCTATCCATTTGTACATGTGCTCCTACTGTGGAGGCTTTGGAAATTTTAGCAGGTCCACAGTATACAAAGAACCCTTGATGTGGGACTGTGGCTTACGCATGTGTTTGCAGATGTGTGCAAACAAAACCCTTTGTTTTTAATGCAAACGGTTAGACAGGGCCAAATTGGTTGTTTCGCAGGCTGGCTGGAAAGTGTTGCTGGGAAATCTTTTGTTTGTCTTGCAATGTGCACCTTACTGCTAAGGCTGGTTATAGGTTGGAATGGTTGCCATTGTTTGTGTAGTTGGATTACACCTAGCACCCTGACATGAAGGGAGGGATTGATGGTTGTATTATTGATCTTGATGGAGAAGTCAGGGGAGGGGGCATGGGCTGGTGGGAATACTATGAGCTCAGTTTTAGAAAGTTTGAGCTTGAGGCAGTGGTGTGAGATCCATGCTGATATGTCAGTTAGTACGTTAGTAATGTGAGAGGAGACTGAAGGAGTGAGGTAAGGAGTAGAGAGATAGATTTGTGTCTCATCAGCATAGAGATGGTACTTAAAGTCATGGGAGTTTATCAAATGACCAAGGGAGGAGGAGTAGATGAAGAGAAGGGTCTGAGGACAGAACCTTGAGGGACCCCTACAGAAAGAGGGAGTGGAGAGGAGAAGACAGACTTAAAGGCAACACAAAAGGAGGGCTGTGATAGTAGGAGGGAGAACCAGGAGGGAGCAGAGTCTCGAAGGTCAAGAGAATGGAGTTTGAGAAGGAGGGGATGATCAACTATATCAAAATCTGCAGAGAGGTCTAGTAGTAAGAGTATGGAGTAGTGGCCATTGGTTTAGCAGTTAGTAAATCATTAGTGAGGTTTAGTAGGGCAGATTCAGTGGAGTGTAGTAAGCGAAAACCAGACAGTAAGGGGTCAAGAAAGTTGAAAAAATACAAACTAGGTCACAGAAGAAGTTAAACATGTGCAATGCAAAAACAAATATATATGTTTTGCTTTGGATCGATTTAAGTTACTAATTTCGTTTTTTTTTGCATTTATAAAAAAATTAGTTTTGTTTAGTAAAGTTTTGTTTATTCATTTTTGACTGGATTCAAATTTTTCCAATGGATTCGAAGTATCGGAATCCAAAATATTGAATCAATCCAAATTCATGTTGAAGAATAGCTTGTTCAATTGTATTTGAAATTTGAATTTCTGAAGACTGTTCTATTCTATTCCTTTATTTTCTATTCTTTTATTTGCATTCTATTTCAGTCTATTTTTCAAAATTCCAATTTTGGAAGATGGCTATATTCTTTCTATTCTATTCAAACCCTTTATTTTCTATACTTTTCAAAATTTGAATGAAAGAAAAAACAGCTATATTCTAACACTAATACACAGTTTTTGAAGGAAATTAGTACTATGCTAATATTTTGAACTTGTTTCAAATTCAATATGAATTTCGGATGAAATTGTGCTTCATTATTTCAGATTCGTTTAAATTTGTTATTATTGTAATTTGGTGATTCAGAAACATCATTTGTCTGAAAATTTTGTCTGAATTTTGATTCGGAACTAAATGAACAGCACATGTCAAGAACAAGATGATCAACAAGATCTTTACAAAAACTAAAGAAATTCTCTATACTATAAATTTCATCATATCTAAGAAACTAGAACTGATACAGTCTAGACAATGCAATTGTCTGAATCAGCACCCCAAATAACAGATCTAAAAAAAAAAAAAATCAAGGCACCAATAAAAAAAGATTTTTTTTGATTGGCTGTAATTCATTATCTTTTTTTTTTTCATTCAGAATTTATTTTTAAAGTTTTTATCATATTGATAAGGCAAAGTTCCTCTTTTTGAAAAAAAAAAAAGTACATTTTTGCTGGCAAAAAAATGTGCATTTATTATCTTTTTGCGTTGCACCCTCGTTCAGTGGATCGCAGGTGCATAGTCAGGCTCCTGCAGACACACCTACAGCTCTGTGCCGATACCTCTGTAAAAATAACAAACAAAAAAAACAACTGGACAACACAAAGTTTAACTTAATATTTGTGGTGAAGGAATCACTGGGAAACATCTGTGTGCTGGGTGGCTTTTCACAAGAGTCATCAGGATTTATTTGGACTAAGCACTTTTGGAACGAGCACCTTTGTGGACTTTTGCTTAAATCAATTACCTATTCCGAAAAAGAGAAAAAGAAGAGAGGGAAACAACACCATCCCTCAAAAATGAGGCACGTCATCTAGATAAAATCAATCATTTATTTCATACCCTGAAACCCTCAAGTTGAAATGAACTGAGGGTTGCTGTTTTGACTGGAGGGTCCTCCTGTGGGACTTTAGAGAAGCAACCTTCTCTTAGGGAAGAAAAAGTCTGGCTTAGGCTGTGTCCAAGATTATATCCAGGTGTTCCAGACAGTTTGAGGGCTGGAGAGAAGATGTATACAACTGTATGAACTAATTATACAGCTAAAGGTTTGAAGGAACTGAATTGTACTCTGGATGTTGATTGCCAAGATTGGGGCTGAGGAGTCCCTCAGTAGGAGGTTGTTTAGGTACATAGTTACAATGGCTGAAAAAAAGACAAAAGTCCATTCAGTTCAACCATTAAAAAAAAAAAAAAAAAAAAAAAAAAAAAGTTATAATCCTATACCCTAGTTGATCCAGAGGAAAGCAAAAAAATCCAGCAAAGCATGATCCAATTTACTCCAGCAGGGAAAAAAATTCCTTCCTGATCCCCCAAGAGGCAATCAGATATTCCCTGGATCAACTTTACCTAGAAATGTTAGTATCCAGTTATATTCTATGTATCTAAGAAAGAATCCAGGCCTTTTTTAAAGCAATCCATGGAGGTGGCCAGAACCAACTCTTGATGGAGTCTATTGCACATTTTCACAGCTCTCACTGTGAAGAAACCTTTCCGTGTTTGGAGATTAAATCTCTTTTCCTCCAGACATAAAGAATGCCCCCTTGTCCTCTGTGATGACCTCAGGATGAATAACTACACCGAGTTCACTATATGAACAACTGATGTATTTATACATGTTGATCATATCCCCCCTTTTCAAGAGAGAATACATTCAGTTCCTCTAATCTTTCCTCATAGCTGATCTCCTCCATGCCTCTTATCAGTTTAGTTGCCCTTCTCGGTACTTTCTCCAGTTCCCCAATGTTCTTTTGTGAATTGGTGCCCAAAACTGAACTGCATATTCCAGATGAGGTATTACTAATGATTTGTACTGGGGTAAAATGATATCTCTCTCTCTGGAGTCTATACCTCTTTTAATACAAGAGAGGATTTTGCTTGCTTTAGAAACTGCAGCTTGGCATTGCATGCCACTATTAAGCTTGTGATCTACCAGAACTCCCAGATCCTTCTGGGAATGCCCTGGGTTCATAGAAGAGCCGCGATATAGGAGATGGTCAGTATACTGTAGAAGTAATTAAGGAGCTAAAAAAAAAAAACATCTGGGAGAACCCATCAGATGCCAGGCTTGTGAAATATATAGAAAACCTCTGCTTCACAGCTGAGACAGGCGCCGCCTATGGGTGTTATTGCACATTTTTTAAACGCAAGCAAAGCATGCATTTTCTCTGCAGGTTGCGTGTGCTTGTAAATGCGCAGATGAAAATGCTGCCAGAATGGCAATGCATGCATGATGCGGAAAATCATGTTAATGTGAACCAGGGCTTATCCTTCCTTTGTCCCTCAATGGCTAAGAAAGAAAGTGGTTTATTTCTGTCTGTGTTGCTGTTGGAAAGGTCCCCTCACTTTCTGTATGGAAAACCTTGTCAGCAGCACAGAAAGAGAAGGGAATGTCTCTAGCAGAGTCCAGGATTGCAGTAAATACCTGAGAGGGCTCTTATCCATCCTTGTTCCATCAAAAATTAAGAAAAAAAGGTTTGGTTTGAAATTTAATGGGAGTGATATGTCCTTATTCCCTAAGGGGGAACCACCACAGCACTCTTCATCCATAGAACTCTTCCAGGACTGCCTACCACAGGGAGGACAATAGGAGGAAACAGACTACCCAGTGACTTATGTGGCCAGCCTGACGACCTTGTAAAAAGTAAGTCTATAAAATAAAAAAAGCACAAAGTCCTGAGTAGTGTGGGATATCCAAGAGGAAAGAGACTGACTGGTGAGCAAAGCCAGACTTAGGCTTCAGGGTTTCGGATCCCCCAATGGTGCTCCTGGCTCCTCCCCTTCACCGAGTGCCCCCCATAGAAAGTCAATTTCTATGGGGGACGACGACACACGACTCATGTGGGCTTGCTCCCAAGTCTCTCTGTGTACATCTATTGACACAGATAGTGGGACTTGACCCAGCCCCTTCGTCACTGTCTTTGATTGATATCAGCGAGAGCCTGCCTTACCAAAGCCAGTGAGACCAGGAAGCGAGATGAGAGAAGAGCTGCAGACTGGCACAGCGCTGGATCGAATGAAGGCTCAGGTTAGTAAAGGGGGATACTGATGCCTAAACAATTTTTACTCACAGTGGTTGTAAACCCTTACATATACTGTGTGAAGTGACTAGCCTCAGGTGCTACACAGATGAAACAAATACTCCTACATAAGTTGTACATGGCTATCTGCAGCCCTCTCTTCTCTACATATGTTAAAAGTGCTAAATTTATACAGCTTGTTTGAGCTTCCAGAAAATGGGGCAAACAGCAAAGATTACACTCTGCAGAGCTAAGTAAGGAGAGCTCTGAGAGCTAATTGGGAGGAAAGAGTCACCCCCCCACCTTATACACAGCTCACAGGAAAAGAGCTGAGGCTGTCATTCTGCTGGAGCTGCCTCCGCTATCACGATTTTTCTCTTGGTGTCAGGAAAACTTGTCAGAAGTGACTCATGCTGATAACAAAGGAACAAGGAAGCAGACATAAATGACAATGTGTGCTCTGGGTTGAGACAAGTACACAGTATATAGGGATGTTCTTTGTACATATTTCATGTCTGAGGTTTACAACCACTTTAATGCAAGGAATGCATCAAGGAAAAAATGTTTAGGGTTTATAACCACTTTAAGATTAAGTATTAGGGGGATATGCCAATTTTAAGTTTTAATATTCAGGGTCAGATTTAGAATGAGGATAATTAACTTCTCTATCTTCTATTGGTCTGTTAAAATACTACTGAAATTGTTTTTTATTATCTGTTTTACAAGTGCAAAAGATCTGTGATCCTGCCATAAATCCAATGCTGTAATGTGTCCAGTGCAATTTGTGCAGTGTTATCAGCCCTACCCCCTATGGTATGGAGATGAGAAAATGGTGTTGTGTTCTGTAGTCCTAATGCACTTCTTGTCCTAGGGTGATGGTGCTGCTTCTCCATAGGTACAGTACAGTGAATGGGTGTTGTCACTGCAGGCCAGGAAATGTGTTACTGGAAGGATCCCCAAAAAAGGGTTATGCTTCACACTTAGATTAAGGACTAACTTAGTGTTTTGCTTAAGTTTTATGGGTGTTTTAGGTGGAGTGAGCTGAATAGAAGGTCAAGTTAAGGTAAGGGTTCTAGAGTACATTTTTTCTTTTTTGCATGTTTCCAGCAATGAAACCCCTGCGATGGGAGAAACCTGGCACATGACACAATTTCTAACATAAAAAATGACTGCAAAAACCTAAAATGAATCCACAAGGCTTACAATTACCTGTTGATTTGCTGTGCTATAATGGGGATGATAGGAATAACAGTGTTGCAGTGGCATTTGCATAAAGGACACAAGTACTCTCCGTTTCCCAGATCATAGATCAGATCCAGATGAACGCGTTGGCGGTTACTCGCTTGCATGGCTTCAAAAAACCTAGACACAAAGATCAACATTAGAATAAATTTAAGTACATAAGGCCTTAAAACTAAAAAATATCTCGTCAGCAATTATCAGTATTTGAGCAAACAAAAAATGAACTATTAGACTTGCATCTATAATTGCAAGGTAGAGTGTATCTACAGCTAAAAATAAGGTTTTTGCACTCCCTGTTTTTCTTGAGCGAGAAACACAGGAATTTTAAGACTGTGACTTTTCCCTGCAACTTACAGGGAAACAGGTGCTAAGAAAAACAAAAGCGCACTGGCCACACACATCATGCCTTAGTTTTGCAGACAAATGTTGTACAGAGAGCAAGAAAATAAAACAGCGGTGGGATCTGCATCTCTCTAAAGTCCAAGAAGGAGTATGCGGTGATGATAAAAATCATGTTTTCTTTCTTATCTGTTGAGGGACACAGGAAAGATTAGACTGTCAAGATGTCCTTAAAACAACACCCTGAGAATCCGACACAGTCAACAGGGCATCTGTCATGACTCATACTAGATTGAAGAACTGCATTCTCCTGGACCATTCCAGTACAAAGTGGATTACCAGACTGCCCATTATCTCCATCCAAGCAGACAAGAAAAAAGAAGATTTAGGGAAGGAGGACAATGATTGGTATGTATTGGAGTCACTAGCGCATTCACTACTTATGCTAAAAAATTCTTGCACCTGGAAAAACCTGCCCAGCTTGCTGTTGAACCTGGAAGCAGAAGGCCCACATATGGCAGCGCCCCCCCCCCCACCAGTGACCCAGCTCCAGGAACCCATTCAGAACCAGGGACCAGTCTCTAGGTCCTGCCACTACCAGTAGAGAGAATCTTCCTGCCAACTGTCTACGCCTGGAATGTACATGGTTGACACGTCTGGAACAGGAAGTTCTGTCCAGGGCTGGGTGTGATATACCCCTGTTGCCATGGAAATACCCATGGTTGCCACCATGGTGTTGCTGACACACAGGAAATAGAGCTATGACACCGTGATCCAGAAGATCTGAGAGCATTCAATGAGACGCGCAAGTCTGTGTTGGGACACAGAATGTTTGGAGGTGAGAAAAAAGGAGAGGGGAGGGAATGAAACTCCAGTTTGTAGCTCTGGGATACTATTTCCTGCACCCAAGTGTCAGCATCTGCAAAGGTTAACCAACATCACCACATTCAGAAAGGCGTGGGCAGACCATGAAGCTGAGGAAAATTTTTCTGAAGATCTGTCAAGAATTTGTGAAGAAAAGAAAGAACGTTTCTTAACAGTAGAGAACAGGGAGACTTAGCAGTCTATTGCCACTGGTAGTGTCCTGGATAAAGGGAATCTAGAAAATCAGTCAAAAGAGACACTGTCCCTCAAGAGACCATGCAAAACAAGCATTTCCTATGCAAGAATTCTGCAGTCCGTCACCTTAATTAAGATGGCCATGCTTACATAGACAGCTGAAATTGAAAAGTGCAGCCATTTTTTCATGAGTACAATAAGCAAGGGATCGATCACAGCAGTGGAGAAATTTGTGAAATTGGCCAGCTAGCCATAGTTTGACAAATTACAATCACAAGCAGGATTGTGGGGTTTCCAAATTCTGTTAATAAGTAACTGAAATAAGTAAAACTTCATGATGAGCTTACGGGTAGGACAACCAAGTTCATGGATATAACATGGAGCAAGAGTAGCAATGAGAAGAAAAACAGATTTTCTAAGATGGGCGTATTAGCTGCAGACCGAAAATTTTCAATATGATTCTTCTTTAAAAAGGTTAATAGAATCCACATCGAATAACGAATGCATTGAGCGATTCTGCCCGAATCAGAAGGTCCAGCGTGTCATTGTTGGATTTAGCAGGGGAAAAAAAAAAAAATTAGCAGCCTATGGATCAGAGGTGGTCTCCACCAAACATTTGAACAAAAAGACATAAGAAGCCCCTTTACCACAAGTGGGACTAAGTCCTGTGGTTCACATGCATACACAATGCAGTCTAGTTCTGTTTGCCAGATAAGTGTGGATGTCAAACAAAACAAATTATATGTTGAGACCCAAAGTAATTGCCTAACTGTTTAGATGTACTACAATACCAAGGGCAATAAGGCCTGTAATAGGGCTCCAGAGGCAAAAAAATAAAAGCTCAAATGCCTGTAAAATATACTCAGCAGCTACATAGAAACCCTGAAAAGGAATCCATTAATGGCTCATAAGCGATGGGGGAAAATACTGTGTTGAGAACACAAAAGTCAACAGCTGGTGCTGCGCAAGAACAATTTTCACATAAAAATACACAGCTTTTCAATCAGTTTTTTTTTGGAACATTCTTTCTAAAATATTTAGTATTAAAAAGTGGTGTGCTATCTCTTTAAATATATAAATTACCAGAACTAACCCTAAGGAAGACACATGACCAGTGACGCAATGCATAGGGCAGAGCCAATGAGTTCACTTCCGATTGACTCGGAAACTGGAAGTGTGGTTTGAGTCACCATTCTGCTATTGGGAAACACTGTTCTTTTATTGGTTTTACTTTGTAGGTGCATATTATTGAGATATAAATTGCAAGTAAAGGCATATGCAGGGTTGCACTATGAATTATCTCTGCTTTCTTTGAGCTTCATTCACACTGGAGGCGGATGTGCCTGATCTCTTAAAGAGACCCTACGGGGGAAGTAGCAAACAATAACTAAAGGTCGAACCCCAATATTCTATCAACAAAGCATGAGTGACCTAGTATATATAGATCAATTTTTAAGGTGAGAGAATATTGCACAATGAGGTGTACTGGGATTGCAGGCACCAAAGAACATAAGTAGAAGCACTATATGGATAAAATTTGTATCACGGAATGAGAACACTTGACTTATATGGACATTTATTTTGGACTATCACGTAATATTACCAAAGGATCTTTTTCACACTTGCACAGTTTATCACGAAATTAGATTATATATTTAAACACTATAGTTTTTTTTATAATCCAAGTGTAGCAATTTATGGTTTAGATTATTAATTTATAGATTTAAAAAAGGGACAGTGCACCACTGTTAATGCTATATATCCATTTTTGGTAGTGTGTTAATACGCTGCAACAGTGTTAGCAGCAGTCTTGCACATTAATCATAACACAAGGAACACTTTTTAGTCAGAGTATAGCATCAAGTCAAATAAACAAATGATGCAGGAGGATCTGTTTCAGTTGTGTGCATCAACTAAGGCCAGTCATTTCACTGGGTTTATGGAAGGGTTTGCAACCACTTTAAAGTATATGTAAGATCAAACCCTTTTTTTTTTAAAATACACTGCTAAAAAAAATTAAAAGGAAAACTTTTTAATCAGAGTATAGCATCAAATCAAATAAACTCCTGGGATATTGATTTGGTTAGTTAAGTAGCAGAGGGTTTTTTTTTAATAAGTTTCAGCTGCTTTGGTGTTAATGACATTAACAACAGGTGCACTAGATGGGCAACAATGAGACAACCCTCAAAATCAGAATGGCTTTACAGGTGGAGGCCACTGACATTTCTTTCCCTACTCATCTTTTCTGACTGTTTTTTTAACTAGTTTTGCATTTGGCTAGGGTCAGTGTCACTACTGGTAGCATGAGGTGATACCTGGACCCTACAGAGGTTGCACAGGCAGTCCAACTCTTCCAGGATGACACATCAATACGTCCCATTGCCAAAAGGTTTGCCGTGTGTCCCTGCACAGTCTTAAGAGCATGGAGGAGATTCCAGGAGACAGGCAGTTACTCTAGGAGAGCTGGACAGGGTGGTAGAAGGTCCTTAACCCATCAGCAAGACTGGTATCTGCTCCATTGTGCAAGGAGGAACAGAATGAGCACTGCCAGAGCCCTACAAAATGATCTCCAGCAGGCCACTGGTTTGAATGCCTCTGATCAAACTATCAGAAACAGACTTCATGAGGGTGGCCTGAGGGCCCGACGTCCTCTAGTGGGTCCTGTGCTCACTGCCCGGCACCACAGAGCTCGATTGGCATTTGCCATTGAACACCAAAATTGGCAGGTCTGCCACTGGCACCCTGTGCTTTTCGCAGAAGAGAGCAGGTTCACACTGAGCACATGTGACAGACATGAAAGGGTCTGGCGAAACCATGCCTGTAACATCATTCAGCATGACCGTTTTGGTGGGGGGTCAGTGATGGTCTGGGCAGACATATCCATGGAAGGATGCACAGACCTCTACAGGCTATTCAATGGCACCCCGAATTCCATTAGATATTGGGATGAAATCCTTGGACCCATTGTCAGACCCTACGCTGGTGCAGTGGGGGGTTCCTCCTGGTGCACAACAATGCCTGGCCTCATGTGGCCAGAATATGCAAGCAGTTCCTGGAGGACAAAGGAATTGATACCATTGAATGGCCCCCATGCTCGCCTAACCCAAATCCAATAGAACACCTCTGGGATATCATGTTTTGGTCCATCCGACACCTCCAGGTTGCACCTAAGACTGCCCAGGAGCTCAGTGATGCCCTGGTCCAGATCTGGGAGGAAATACCCCAGGACACCATCCATCATCTCATTAAGGAGAATGCCCCGACGTTGTCAGGCATGCATACAGGAATGTGGGCACCATACAAACGGAATAGCATTTTGAGTTGCTGCAATGACTAGCCTGCTGCATAATTTTTTCACTTTGATTTTCGGGGGGGGGGGGGGGTGTCTTTGTTCTGCAGGTTGATAATTTTAATTTCCATCAAACAATGGGGCATCCGTACATTCCTAACACATTACCCAGTCCATATCAGTATAGATATCCAGCATATTTTTTCCCATTGAAATCTGATGTGTTTCCATAGTGTTTCTTTAAATTTTTTTGAGCAGTGTATACACGCACACATACGTTTATTTAATTTGGGAGTATAACAGCACACAGGTTTACACATTTAAATTTTTTATTTAAAGATTACACAGGTAGAAATGTTACCCAGACGAGTTGAGGGTGCAGGATAAGTCAAGTCCACTGCAATGTAACATACGAGACAAAACAAAGATCTTT